CGTCACCGTCACCGTCATCGTCACCGTCATCGTCACCGTCACCGTCATCGTCACCGTCATCGTCATCGTCATCGTCATCGTCATCGTCATCGTCGTTTTTGTTATTGTTGTTATTTTTATTGGTATAAGAAGTAATGTCTATTTTTAGTTTTAATATCAATATTTGGAAAAGTAAGTATACCTATTTATAGTTTTAATATTCCTGCACAAAAAGTTATAACCGACAGCAGCAAAACGGATAAGGAATTTTTTTTAATATTGACCTTAGGCACTCATTATCTAACAATCCGCCATCAAAGTGAAGGAACGTACCATCTTCAAATGTTCGCCTAAGCACGTAGCTATGGATAGGTCCATCTCCCTTATCGTTACGTATGACCACTGTGACGTTGTATATTGTCCACTTTCTCAGACCACTGAACGTGTGACTTGTTTGTTGAGGAGTTGCAGTACTTTCATGTCTATCATTTCCTGATATGCAAAATACTCTGTATCCCAGAAAAGGACCATTGATTCCAGATATTGGTGCCTTAAAAAGAAACAAATAAAAGTGGTTTAGCAAAAGAGAACTGTAAAAAGTATGCCTGTTTCTTTATTTGGACACGTATACTTTGGGATGCTAAGGCATAAGCTGTAACCAAAATCGCACACAGATAGAATCTTATCTTACCTTCCAAGTAACACCTATACTTTGGGATGTTAAGGCATTAGCTGGAACCAAAATCGTACGCAGATAGAAGCCTAACTTACCTGCCAATTAACACGTATACTTTGGGATGTTAAGGCTTCTGCTGTTATCAATGTAGGAAAACCTGTTGGAACTGAAATATATTATACACAAGCAAGTCAGATTGGTTCAATCAAATTCGAACATTATATTTGGAATATTTCAATGAAACGATCAATACATTTTAAGACACCGTGTCGTACTTACCGTCTGAGTCTGTTCTGAAGTTCATTGGCCGACTCCATTTCCCATCACCAACTATACTAACAGCTTTGATTGTAATATTGTAACTGGTATAGATTTTTAGGCCGGTGATTACTAGGCTTTGTGATAGGGCTGATATCGTTACTGAGTGTGTGCTATTTTGGTAGACTAACACATATGACGTCACAGGTTTCTGGAATTCAGTTAGTTGAAGCTTTTGCCAGACTATTCCCACCGCTGTCGAGCTAAGAAATCTAACTGTCGGCAGAATTTGTCTAGACGGGTAGTCTGTAAGAACAAAAAGCGATAAAACAGTATTTAGTACGCTTACCCATCATATCAGCAACATCTCATATATTATATTTCGGGACTATTTGTCCCGAAACCTTGTGGGAACACATCCACTTAACTTGATGAGGCAATTCTATCCCCCTAGGACAGAGATGTCGGCGCTATGTAGCTAACCCACGACAAAAGCTGATGATGACGATGATGATGATGACTTCTCTTATTATTCCGTTGACTCTATGTGTAGGTATTTTTTCTTAAATACTTACCATATCTTACTCTTACCACGGCACTTTTTGTCCCATCAGCGTCTGTTTTGGTATTTCCATACAATGCTCTACACATGAACGGTTTATTACACAACAGCGAGGATTCAAACCTGTAACAACTTGAGGAAAGGAATAGGTTAGTATAATGGATGTCAGTGTGCAATTTAATTCTGAAAACATAATTTGTCCTTGGGACTTTGGGTTCAACTGTTACATTGCATGCGTGCTCGGTTTACCGGTGATCAGATGTAGGGTTAATGCTGATGAGGATCATTCCTCCATAAAGGTTAATGCTTCTAGTAATCGATTTATGTATTATTTATGATAAAAGAAGAGGTTTCAACTTTTATTAATTAACTGAAAATCACTCATTACTGCTGTACATACTCATAACTATTGAGTACATCAGCAACAGAAGTGTAGTTTACTCTCAATGTAGACTGCTTGACTCCATTAGCACCATGCACCAGACCAGTAGATTGACTGGTGATGTCAGTATCACCAGTGTACCATTTGATGTACTGTATTAATGGTTCTTGTACAATACACACCAGATCTTCATAACTATTGGATGCTGCTGAAAGGTTTTGATTGGTCAGACCTGATATCACTGGTCTGGTAACTGGAAATACATACAAGAGGTTATAAGATGTTGTAAAGAAACATTTTGATTTTGATCTACCTACCAGTCACATCCATGTCGTTCTATTCTCATACATATAGCAGTATTCCATGTCTGTACTTGCCATATTCACATCCATACAGTTCTATTCTCATACATATAGCAGTATTCCATGTCTGTACTTACCATAGTCACATCCATACAGTTCTATTCT